CCCCCCGCCGTCACGCTCCCCCGTCACATGCCCGTCAGGTACCCCCCATCACGTGCCCCCGTCACCTGCCCCATTACCTGCCCCCGTCACATGCCCAATCATGTTTCCTTCCCACACACCCCTATTACATTCCCCCGTCATGTGTCCCCCGCCGTCACATTCCCCAGTCACGTTACTCCGTCATGTGCCCCTGTCACGTACCCCTGTTACCTGCCTCGTCACATGCCCACATCATGTTTCCTTGACATGCACTCCCGTCACGTGCACCCTGTCACGTGCCCCCGTCACGTGCCTCCTGTCACATGCACTACACCAGTCCTGGAGGTTTGAGAATCACTCACTTCCCTGCTCTGTCTCTGTATTTGGGAAGCTCCAACATCCTGCTGGATCAGCACTGGGGGGCCAAGCTCTCGGACTTTGGACTGGCTCGGTACGCGCCTCGTGCTCCAGCTGGGTGCTCGGCGAACCAGACGGCTTCTGTCGGTAAAACTACGACCGTGAGAGGAACGCTGGCTTACCTGCCGGAGGAGTACGTGAGGAGAGGAGAGCTGTGCACGGCTGTGGACGTCTACAGCTTTGGAGTGGTGAGGCACTGCAGGGGTTGATGGGAAATTTAGTCTGTTTGTTTCAGGGGCCGATGTGATCTCCTGTGGATCTTCAGAACCAGAGAAATATGATGAGCGTTGACCCTCAGCTGGACCAGAGGGCCACAGGTTCTGTTTCATGAAGAATGGTCCTGTCTATGTTTCAGGTTCTACTGGAGGTTCTGACGGGTCGACGAGCCGTGGAGCAGGGCTGGAAGTCCAGAGACAGATACCTGGTCAGAGCCTGCACATTGTCCCCATGTCACATGACTAGTCCTCAGACCTACAAGAACTGTGAGGGTTCTATTTGGTTCTGGTTCGCAGAAAGACCTTGTTGAGGAGGTGGAGGACAGTCCAGACTGCTGGAGGACACATCTGGACCCGCAGCTGATGGCAGGTCAGACTCAGAGTTCACATCACTCCTCTTGGTGTGAATCCTGGACCTAATGGTTCTGTCTGCAGGAGGTTCTGCTGAGCCCATCGGGTACCTACAGGTGGCAGTGCTGGCCCGCAGAACTTTGACCAAACAGAGGAAGAGGAGACCAACCATGACCGAGGTCAGATCCTGCACCACTCAGCACCACAGTCCTCTGATCCTGGACCAGGTCCAGAGACAGTCCTCTGATCCAGGACCAGGTCCAGAGTCAATCCTCTAATCCTGGACCAGGTCCAGAGTCAATCCTCTGATCCAGGACCAGGTCCAGAGTCAGTCCTCTGATCTAGGACCAGGTCCAGAATCAGTCCTCTGATCAAGGACCAGGTCTAGAGTCAGTCCTCTGATCCAGGACCAAAGTCAGTCCTCTGATCCAGGACCAGGTCCAGAGACAGTCCTCTGGTCCAGGACCAGGTCCAGAGACAGTCATCTGATCTTGGACCAGGTCCAGAGTCAATCCTCTGGTCCAGGACCATGTCCAGAGACAGTCCTTTGATCCAGGACCAGGTTCAGATCCAGATTCTGGTTTGGAGTCCCTCTGGTTCAGTGTCAGGTGGTCAGGTCCAGGGGTTCTGGTCTGACCCCCCTGATGGTCTCTCCTCAGGTGTTTCAAAGTGTTCGGGACCTCCAGTCCACTGTGAGGAGGAACTTCCCCTCTCTTCATCAGTCTCAACCCCCCTACCAGTACTTTCCCAGACCTCCTCAGTCTCTGGACTCTGTAGCGTCGGTCTTTAATGTGGACCCTCTGGACCACATCTGTCCTCCCCTCCAGTCCTCCTCTTTGGGTGGTCCGTGTGAAACTGATGAGAGTCGGGGGTTCTCCCAGTACCGACTTGGCTCCCAGTTTGTGTCCAGTGGTACCAGCTCCAAATCGCAGAACTACAGTCCAGCTGGACCTGCAGGATCTTCTGTTCCCACCGAGGACCAGGCCAGCATCAGTCCTGACAGCTCAGGACCCGGGGCCCTCGCTGCGGACTTCTCTCCTGCAGGGTCCCTGCAGTCCACCGAGCCCTCAGGTAGGTCAGCCTGTGGACCAGGTCCTTCACATGGTCCACCACAAAGACTCAAGTCCACAACTCTGGTTGTCTCTCTCCAGGTCTGCTCAGTCCCGGTACACACATAAATCCAGAGAAGGAGACCCAGTACGAGGTGGGCTGGATCAGAACCCCGGAGCTGCTGTCGTTAGGCCACCTCGGTACGTAACTCCAGACGTGGCCTTCCTGTTCCACATGGTCAGGTTCTTCATCCATGGTTCCATGTTCCTCTGTCTGTCCAGAGAGGGGGGCCAGTTTTAAGGGGTCCGGGGGCCCAGAAGAAAGCGATGAACTGGACTACTTGCAGTCCAGAACTACCTGACAGGGTCCTGAGGTCCACAGAACTGGATGAGCTGAGAACTGGATTCCGACAGGAAGAGACTCTTCAGAGCTGCCGGGGCCTCGAGCTAGAACAACTTAAACTGAAAACGCATCTGAGTAGAACTCCGCTCCTACTCTGAGCCAATCAGATTCAACATGTGTAAAAACATCCATCATCATCATCCATCATCATCCATCATCATCATCCATCATCATCCATCATCATCATCCATCATCATCATCCATCATCCATCCATCATTTGCATCATTTTGCACCAGCTGCAGACTTACACGTCTGATAACAGGAACACGTAAAAGAGAGCACGTCACCCTGTCCTGGCTTCTCTCCACTGGCTGCCCGTGTATTTTAGAGTTCATTTTAAAATTATTTGTTTGTTTTTAAGATTTTAAACAGCCTTGCCCCCCCAACAGAGCTTCTCCACCACTACACTCCCCCTCGGTCACTCAGATCCTCTGACCAGCTGCTTCTGGTCATTTCCAAGAGTAAGAGGAAGCTCAGAGGAGACGGGACCTTCTCTGTTAGTGGTCCTGTTATGGAACGCTGTGCCTTTGCACGTTCGACCGGCCCCTCACTGTCCATGTTTAAAACTCGTCTGAAAACTCATCTCTGCTCATCGGCCTTCAACCAACTGAGACTTGATTTTGCTTCATTTTTATTGGTTTTATCTGTTTAACTCTTTGTGTTATTGTTTTAAACTTGAGTTTTTTTATTCACTGTGTTCTTGGCTTTGTAGCTGTTTTTATGCTCTCTTTTATCTTGTTTTTAACTGATGTTCAGCACTTTGTTTCAGCTGTGGCTGCTGCTAAAGCGCTTTATAAATAAAGCTGATGATGATGATCGTCCATCGTCCATCCAGAACAACTTGAGCTGGAAACACATCTGTTAAGAACACCCCCCTTCTCTGAGCCAGTCAAATTCAATGTGTGTAAAAACATGCATCGTCCATCATCATCCATCCATCATTTATTATCCATCCATAATCCATCCATCATCCATTCATCGTCTTTACCCACTTCTTCTTTTTCGGGTCACTGGTGCCCATATCCAGCAGTCACTGTGCGAGAGGCAGAGGACACCCATGACGGGTCTCCAGTCCATCACAGAGACACATAGAGACAAGCATTTAGTCTCATCTAGGGACAATAGAGTTATTGTTACAACCTGGACTGTCCCTGCCTCCAGTTGTAATTAAATGTGGTAGTTTCCACCCCCTGCACCCCTCAAGCAGCCACGGACTCAACGAAGATGTGATAAACAGTGATTTTTATGCACAATGAATATTATTGACTTTTTGGAGTCTTACCAAACTTCAGGGTGAGCCCAGGCCAAAACAAATAAAACCAACTATTTTTACTATTACTTATTTTACCTAAACCAAAACAAAATGAACCAAAATATGTCTTTTACCTAAACTGACAAAAACAGGAGAAAAAGTCTTGAAAATAAAATGACAGTTCACCGCTACAAACTCCTCACAAAACTAAATTAATCTGACATTAACGACAGACAGCTGTAGTAAAGGTGGGGGACAGCTTAACTGGACACACGGGCCACCGTTTATGTGATTTAAAACACGTACGGGCCACTGAATGTAGTAGTATGTCAACGGACAGCTTCGCTGTACCTTCACTACTAATTAATTATTTACAACGGGTTCTTTATTTTTCGAGTTAAATTAATGCCATGTGACGAGATAACTGTGAGTATTGTTTAATCAGTGACAGGAGACGTTAATTTTCTTTGACCCATCAGAATAAATGCGGTCATTTATTTAACAGAATCAAAATTTAACATCAAAACATTGTACACTTGATTCGCTGATCTGGTTCTGATTAACAAAACTTGGCACGCTTTACTAACAAGACAACCGAACATTTCTGAAGGCATCTAGATTGATTTACAAAATAGAAGAGTTTAAAGGAAGGAATGGAGAAGTTTAAAGGAGATGGATGAAGGGAGGTGTATGTTTGGATTGACCAGAATTAGCACGCTTCTTTCAACACCAGCTCAAACCTCCGGTACACTTCAGGACGTGCAGAGACTTCGTTACCTTAGACGGGGAATACCTCCACTCCGGAACAGAAGTCCATTAGTACGATCGGTGGTGCAACTGGTAGAGCTGCTGCCTCTCAGCGAGCAGGTCCCTGGTTCAAATCCCGGTCCAGGGGCCTTTCTGGGTGGAGTTTGCATGTTCTCTCCGTGCATGCGTGGGTTTTCTCCGGGTACTCCGGTTTCCTCCCACAGTCCAAAAACATGCATGTTAGGCTGATTGGTAACTCTAAATTGTCCCTAGGTGTGAGTGAGAGAGTGAATGGTTGTTTGTCTCGTTTGTCTCTATGTGTCCCTGTGATGGACTGGAGACCTGTCCAGGGTGTCCCCCGCCCCTC